AAAAAAATATAGGTCTATGAAAGTTGAGTAGCGTTTTACAATACTAATAACTTTAATGAAAGTCTTTAAAAGTAGCATCGAAAAATAAAACTTTATGCATGTTTCTTGGCTTGTAGTTCAGAAATATGGCTTTACTGATGCCCTTTTGGGGATCAGCAGTGTTTGCACGAGTGGTTTCGAAGTGATTTGGTCTGTTAATTGGGTCATCCGTTTCCATGATGGGTGATTACACTGAGTACTGTAATGGAGTGGCGAAGAGCATGTAGCTGATAGATGGGGCCTCAGAAGGACACACTAAATAACGTGTTTGCATCATTGATTTTTGTCTGTATCACATCACCCCTTTTAGCCTGAGGTTAGGTCCAACTTTACAAATCCTTGAAGACTTTCAGGCAGGTTATGTCATTTTGCCAGTGCGACTCTTAGGAAGAATCACGCTGTATATTCAGGACTAGAGTATGGAAAATATCTGCATTTAGAAGGAGCAGGGGGAATTGCTAGTTGTCTGAAGTACTTGGTTCTGTTCATGTAAAATCTAGGTATTGTTGTAAAATATATGCTGTGTAAGAATAGAAATGTTTCTGTGATTTCTGTGAGCTACTTTGCTAGGTGTTTTTCTCTGACCAAGGACTAGGTGAGTGATGCTGGTTGAGTTGAGATATCTGTATCTATCTGATCTATGAAGCATCACAGATTCATAAATATCTGTCTTGTGTCTCCAAATTAACAGTCAAGCAGTTATTTGGCTGGGTTTCGTTGCCTTAAGGAGATGACTCAAATCAATCTACAATCACCTTGTTTTTTCCACTTAGCACACGAGGGACCATTCCCAGTGCCTCTGCCCCATCAGAAGCTGCATCTGGTTGTCTCATTTGACAGCTCAGCTGTCTGGTTGCGGGGTAGTAGTTTAAGAGTCATTTCTTCTGAGGTATCAGCAAAAGTTCTGAACCTTCTTGGATGTTTTTTATGGGACAGCCTGAGGAAGAGACTGTTCACCTGGTGTCTCAGAATCCAGTCTGTTTTATGTCTATCTTAATTTACTCTTAACTTTAGTAGCTCAGCTGTAGAGAATGGCATCAAGGCAACCCTGCAGAAGAATTATCTAGACCGCATGAGAAGACCTAAGGAGAGAAAACTGTCAGTGGAGAAAAAGATCAAGAATCAGCTGACTTTATTGAAGACTAAAGGAAAGGTAAGGGAATGAACTGCTTGCATTTGGTCCATTTTTAGGAGATGGCTGTATGAATTTACATCTACTTGTTGGTACTTATTGAAGCATTGGTCTGGAGTGAACAAGGGTGAGGACAAAGGTGGTGAGCTCTGCACAGCGCTTTCTTTTCCAATGGGAAAGGAGGAGTGGGAGGGAGAATCCACGAGGATCTATCAGGAGAAGGCTGAAGTAATGAAAATCTCGTTGAGACAGTACTGAAGGAGTAGGAAGAAGGAAATAAGATAGGGTTTCAGTGTGAGGAGAAGCAAAGATGTGCAGGAGAGGGCTAGGAATGTGCTGATCTCAAATGTGCCTAGAAAACGTGCACCTAGGTGTCTCTGGGGGATTAAGGAGGGTGGTGGGATGCATTAGCAAAACGCTCTGATTGGAGCTGCACAGCGGAGAAGGGAGAAAAGAGGAGCTTGAGGCTATGTGTGTAAGTTTGCATACCTATAAGCTTAGTGGAGAAAAGAAAGTTCTAGGGGAATAAAATAATAAGCTGAATGCTTTATGACATTCAAATAAGTACTGAGTGCGAATCCCCCAGTGCTCCTGTGTTATCCTGCAGCTCTACCCAATGCCAATAGGCATTTGGTGCAATTTCATAGGGTTCCCTGAAAAACCCGATGCAGGAAGGAACTTGAGCAGCAAGAAAGGTTTATTGCAATAACAATAATAATAAGCTCAAGCTTCTTTTGGTATTCCAGCATAAATATCAAGTAGGTTGTGTGGTAAAGTTCTTGCCCAATTTCATTTTTGCTAGACTGTTGCCTTGTTCAGCACCCGGTGACCTGTTATTTCTGTGAAGGTCGTGGAGACCTGAGTGCTAAAATATGCAAGAACTTTGCAAATAGCATTAACAGCTTGAACTCCTTATGAAAAACTGAACAGGGCATGATTTGCTGTAGAGCTTTGCATTAACCTCTTTTTCAAAACCCTCAAAAATTGTCGAACAAAAGTGTTAGGTACGGAGATGCTTTTAGCATTTTATTTCTGGCCAAAAATATTGCAGTGTAAAGCTCCACTGTGTGATTTATAGGCTTCAAATGGATGAAATTATAGAGGGGGAGAATAATGCACTAGCATATCTAGTGGCAGAGCCCCAAGATTTTTAGCTGAGTGATACAGACTAGGGAGAAGACTGCAGTATATGTAAGATTCCATCTTTCTGCCTTAGTTAAATGACTTAATGTTTCTCATGCTAATTGGGACAAACATCTTAAAATATTTATGAAGGAAAATCAGAAGATATCCCCCTGCTCCAAGCAACTGGCTCAGTGTAAGATTTCTTTCTATATTAATATTTTACATAAAATTTAATTTGCTTTAATTTCTATAGGCTGTTTCCATGTTCAGCTGATAGCATTTCAGAGGTAGTTTTGAATCAGAGGTGGTTGGGAGAAAAGTTTGGCACCAGAGAAAGAAATACGGATTGCACTGTCGGTTAAATTGGTAGATAAAGCATCAAGTAAGTGGTGGCAGTGCCATTGATTTAATCATTTTAAAGTAGAACTGTGTGCGCACACACACACACACAAAAAGTTTGTCACTACAGGGAATACAGGTGGGACAAGATGATCTATAGAAAGACAATATCTGTAAATCCTGTGACACACAGTCTTGTTTTAGGGCTGTGTTTCATAAAACTGAATCTGTGATTAAACATTTGGGGAGGGTTGTTAGAAGGCTGCGTTACTCTGATCAGTTAGATCGGTTATTGTACAGGAGCATCTCAAGATGTTTTTTCCATCAGTCTGATGAGACCTGGGGCATTTTCAGCCTGCATTTAAAAGTAGTTTTCTTTAAAACATCTTCAAAGTCTAAATGGCTATCAGTGAAAGGAAAGGAGCCAAAAAAAAAAAAAAGTAGACTGAGTACAAATGCTCAAGCAAATGAATTTTCAGATGCATTGCTTTAGAAGGAAACTTTGCAGGTTGATTATTTAAAGTTGTAATAGGATGAAATTCAGAGGCCTGAATCTATTCCTGCTTAAACTTCTTTTTATGAATTTAAAGAATTTCCTGTTCACTCTGGGCTCCTGGAGAAGGCCTGGGTCTCACAGGCAGTAGTGCTGAACGGTACTTCCTAAGTACGAAGTTAAGCTCTGGAGTTTTGTTGGGACCTGTTGGGACTGGCAAAAGGAAAAGGTGGCTTCGCAGGTGTCTTTATGCTGTGTTCTAGGAGATGAGAGGTTGCGTTCTTGACTATCTAGCTGACTTATAAACTGGATAAGGAAACCCAAATAGTTATAAACTGTTATAAAAAATTGATATGCAAATCTTATTTTTACTATTTTTGAATGTTTTTTTTTGCTTTCCGGTTTTAGAAGCCCCGTGATACACTTGGTGTTTTCACTTTTCTTTTGTCATCTTAAATCTTTTTATTTTCTCAACTAAAAAGAATTTAAATTTTTATATTTTTATTTATATTCTTAAGATACAATATACATTTCCTCACGATATCACCAAATGCCAAAAGCACAAGATTTGTGATAAAATTATGAGATCTGGCAACCTTCAATTGTCTGCTTCCTGCTTTAATTCTCTCTAAAGCTTCCGTGGATATTCTGCATTTTTGTGCTTAAAAGCAGTTGTGTTCTTCTCTTTTGCAAGAAAATGCTGGCGTTCAGAAAGATGTAGTAGTTATTAACGTTTTGACACTTCTCAAGTAGTTTTGAGTCCAGGATGTTACAGATATTGCTGTTGTGCTTACAACTATCAGCAACTTGTTTTTATCGGGCCCTGTAAAGAAAATTTTCTTTAAAATTAGTAGGCAGACCATTTATGATTTGGCCCTACTTTCAAATAAATGGGGAAATGAGCATTGGCTTTAATGATACAGGAGCTAAACTTCAGGAAAAACAAAGCTGTATCGCTCTGTTCTGCTGCCAGCCCTTCTACCAGCTGCACGTTTCCTTGTTTCCTACTTTGCGGAGGTTTCACTGGTTAATTTAGGAGAGCTTCAGCCAGAGGACTAAGATGTTTGTGGAACAGTAAGAGTCTCTCAAGCGGGCAGTTTGGTTTAGACACTTCAAAAATGTTCTTTGCTGAGATTTTCCCATCACAGGGAAAATGACGCTTCGGGTGCTTGGGGCTTTTCATTTTCATTCGAGTGAGCAGTGGGAAGAAGGCAGAAATCTTAGTTCAGCATCAGTTAATGCTTGATACTAACGTGTAAAAATCCCACAAGAAAAATGGGAGATACTTGTGTGTCTGGTTAACATCTGCTTAATATCTGGAGAGAGAAAGAGAGAGAGCAATGACCAGTGATCAGTAGGCACACCACAGGTAGCTTTTAAAAATACCTGCTTTTTTTTTCCTCCCTCTCTCCTGCTGTTATCTGTAGCATTCCAGTTTACACTACTTGCACAACTGAGACATTTTCTTGTATCGTTGATCTGGAAAGTCTGTCTTTAATTCGGCTCTGGGGTGAAATGGCAGTAATCCCAACTCTTCCAATTTCCTGCAAAGGGAAGGTCAGCAGCGCCACGTGCGTGGGGCAATTTCAACACAGCAAGTAATCGTTCTGGTTAGAGCTCCCGTTGAGGCCGAATGGTTTGTCTGATTGGAAGGCTAAATCTGTCCTTAATCACCCAGATAAGATGACATCACCAGTGTGCTATAAACTGTCTGAAAGATTAATGCCCTCTATCAAATGCAAACTTAATCCTGAAGTAGGAAAAATAAGGAAAGGCAACTTTTTTTTTTTTTTTTTTTAATTCTGTGACCATCACCGCTGACGAGAATGATAATTGAAGGGAGGTTGCTAGAGCTGCTGGACATTTCCCGCGTTGGAACGAGCATGTTAACTGCGCGAGGGTTTCCCTGGAGAGGGTGTCTTCCCTGGCACGGCTCCCGCTGGCGCGTTGCAGGGAGGGTGCCGGCCCGGCTCCCGGCGCGGCGCGGGGCCTCGACGTGCAGCTGTGCGGGGCAGTGAGCCCGCACCACGCGAGGACAGCCTAGGGAAGCCGTGAGACTGTGTGAGAAGGAGGTGTCACGGGGGCACTGGGGCGAGGAGGCCCGCGCAGAGGGGCTCAATGAGCTCTTTGTGTCAGCTCGCAGCGCCGGGCGGGCGGGGGACGTTCCCACCGCAACAAATGCTGACTAGCAGGGACGTGTTGGGGCACCGTGGTGGTGTTTGCTTTGATTGCATGCGGCCCTGGAGCAACAGAGGGCACAGCCGTTGCCCTCAAAGGCAGGGAGGTCCCGGAGGCCGCGGGGGTTTGGGGCCTGCCCTCGGGAGGAGGCGTGCGACCCGGCCGCTGCCTTGGCGCGGGAACCTGCTAGCCAGCTGGATTTACTTTCTGTTTTTATTCTTTTAGCCAAAAGTAAACCTGGATATAAGATGGCTTTAAGAACGAACGGCTCGAGTTATACTTTGGAAGTTTTCATGCACAGAGAAATCTAGGTACCTAGTTTTCGCTCTTGTGTGTTAGCAGTAATATGATGAAGAAAGGTAATATTGTAAGAAACAGGAGTGACAAGAAGCATAAGTAATTATTAATACGTCAGATGCAATCCCTTTATCAGGTTATGATAGAAAATGGCAAACAAATCTTCTTCTGTACCTTTTGTCTCCTGTCAGGCTTAGAAGCTTAAAATATTTTCAGTTCTCTAGTTTTATTTGCACTAACTGCCTTGAGTACTGAAAATGGAGGGAAGTGCAGAGGAAGTTTTGGAGGCAGCAATTAATAATTATTATACACATTGGGTGAAACATCTTAAGCAATGCAAGCAGCCCTGTTGAATGTAGAGCCATAATTGAGTCTATAATGTCCTTGTCTGATTTTAAAGATGTTTCCATAGATGAAAATGTATTTATGTTGTTTTTACCCTTGGGTGGGTAAGACTTTCCAGCAAAGATTGAATTTCTATATTTCTTCTTTTCCCAATTAGATTTTCCTCTTACACTGCAATTCATCTTGTTTTGTTTTCCGTCAAAAAAAAAAAAAAGTTGGAAACTCTGAGTGAAATTTGACTTCTCTGAGCTCTACTTTCATTTTTTTAACCAACAAATATTTTTCTTAGGAGCTATCCATGAGATTTACATATGACCTGACTGCTAAGCATAAGCATGAGCTTTTTTACTGGTCTAGTTCAGAGCAACATCTTGAGGGAAGCTTTTATTTTTTTCATGAAATCTAGAAGATAAGGAAAATACATATTAGAAATCAGTTGGATGACTCTAGAGAGGACACTTAAAAAGATGTGAGCAGTGGCTGAAGTCTGCTATTGCAGAGCAGCTGCACTGAGAACAAGTTGCATTTTGGGGAATATTTGGCCTCTTCCCAGTTCTCAGGTGGAAAGGTTTAAGCTGTGAGAGGGTGTGATAGTGCCTGGTCTGGTCTCGGTGTGTAACTCAGTGATCCCCAAATCAGCTCGGTAGCTTCTGATCAAGCTACGACTTGTTGAGCTGTTGTGCCTTTGTGCCCCGTTATTTCACTTCATTGTCACCAGGTGTATTTAAGCAAAGATCTTTACAACGTGTTCTCGAAGTGGCGTCTCGGGTTTTACTTTTATTAAAAGAGAAACACTTCATATAATCGGGGAGCTGCGGTGCCACGTCGCAGGGTTGAGCAATCCCTTGGCAAGACGCAGGACGGCGTTGGGGCCTGCCGCCCTTCTCTAGCTGAGCCCTGAGCACAGGGCTGAGCACAGGGCCGCTTTCCTTAAATCCTCCCCTTGGATGCCCTTGCAGAGCAAGAGGCCATTACACCTTGTTTTTCCAGGCGACCTTGCTTTTGCTTTAGTGCTGTTTTGGGCTTGGTGCTAAACCACTGGAGGAGGAGTTTGGAAACAGTCTATAAGATGAGTTTAGAAAAACTCTTTATGTAGCAAAGCTCAGATTACATTAGTGGATTTT